AGCATCAATGGCGGACCGCCTTACAGAACTATCAGAATCCTCCAGTCGACACACTATAGCTTGGAGAATGTCCTCTGATAAAGCGGTTCGCTTGCTTAAAGCATCAATGGCGGACTGCCTTACCCATATATCAGAATCCTCCAGTCGACGCACTATAGCTTGGAGAATATCCTCTGATAAAGTGGGTTGCTTGCCTAAAGCATCAATGGCGGACCGTCTTACAAACAAATCAGAATCCTCCAGTCGACGCACTATAGCTTGGAGAATGTCCTCTGATAAAGCGGTTCGCTTGCCTAAAGTATCAATGGCGGACTCCCTTACAGAACTATCAGAATCCTCCAGTCGACGCACTATAGCTTGGAGAATGTCCTCTGATAAAGCGGTTTGCGTGCCTAAAGCATCAATGGCGGACCGCCTTACAGAACTATCAGAATGCTCCAGTCGACGCACTATAGCTTGGAGAATGTCCTCTGATAAAGCGGTTTGCGTGCCTAAAGCACTAATGGCGGACCGCCTTACAGAACTATCAGAATGCTCCAGTCGACGCACTATAGCTTGGAGAATATCCTCTGACAAAGCCGTTTGATTGCGTAAGGCAGCAATAACCAAGCTTTCCAGCCCGGTGGAAATATTCTGTCCCAGAAGAGATGCTACCTGGCTTAGGAGGCAAGACGAGAAGTTTGATCGATTCAGCAGAGATCGTAGGATAGCACTCCTCATATGTTCTGGCTCTTCATTCATTAGAGTGATCAAGACACTGTCGGGAAACTCCATTTCACGGCACAATGTCATTTGTCCCCGAAGCTTGTATTCAAAAAGTGCCCACTGTTTCAACTGCGCCTCCATCCCGGTTCGGATATTCTCCAAGCCGGAGTTTGGAGGCACTTCACCGAAGCAATGCATGAGGATCCGTTGATGTGCGAGGCCCAAGAAGTCGTACGGTCCATCCTCCATCATTTCAAAGAACCTACGCAGTTGCTCTTCACCTTGGCTCTGGAGCAACCCCGCTACAAATCGCCAAAAGACATCGTAGCGTCCGCTGTATTTTTCTTGTTGAAGGAACCTTTCTGCAGTACACTGTACCGTACTCTTCTGAAAGCGGAATGTGAAACACTGAAGGGGTTTTCGAGTCATCCAATGTCGTACAAAATACTGTGCTGCAAAGTATTCCTGAAAGGTTAAATGAATAAAATGATAAACCCGATACTTGCTTTCTGAGGTAGGGTCCGATGTGCGTAGAAAGGAGAGTCGGTCCAGTTCATCATCTGACATGCTGCGAAGGCTAGGTTGTTCATATATCGTACTCCGTTTGTCTATATCAAACTCGATAATGTCATTGTAAAGACCAGTAAAAGCGAAGACTTCGACCAATTCGATTTCTTTCTCAACCCAATGCTTGATTTGCGGACGGGTATGCAATTTTTCGACTGGAGCTTCAGTTTTCCCCAATTGCAAGATATCTTTCATCCACAACTTTAACTCGATGGCTTGGTAGAGTGCTGTCATAGTCTCTGGCACACCACGCAGACCGCTATCCCAGCTATAGCATAATGCATCAAGTTGGATCGGAATTTGAACCAATCCCTGAATAAGCCAATGACTCTGGATAAAAGACCGGATGGCTTCTGCCTTAGCTTTGTCCACAACCCTCGTTAAATAGGCCTGCACTTGGTCTCTGTGAAATCCAATAGTTTCCAGTTCCAGGTCAAAGAGAGTAAGGCCCGGTAGATTGACTGCATATGGCCGAGAGGTAATGATCACATTACGTCGGTTTAACAGCCCCCTGAACTTTTCGGTAAGTTCCGTTCCGGAGATATTCCGTTCCCCGGAAATTTCATCGAGACCATCCAGTAGCAACAAGGTTCTCTCGTCAGTTTCATCACCTAAAGCTCTCCATAGTGCTTGAACGAACCACTCGGGCTCCTGTTGCGTGGAGAAATATTCATAGGGAAGTAATTCCTCCAAGCTTGATTTTCCCTTGAGACTTCGCAGAGGTATCCAAAAGATGCGGTCAAAAAGTTCTCCCCACAATTTGTCATGTAGAAAATCATGAACGATCTTTTTGCATAGGGTGGTTTTTCCCACTCCGGCACGTCCTCGAATTAAGATCCGCTTTGGCCGGGATATAGTGCCGCCTGGACTTTTCCGGTCCTTAAATAGATCACGCAATTTCACCTCCGCTTCCGTGTTGCTCGCCTCAACCTTCAGGCGGGTGAAGAGCGTGAACACGGAAGGCTGCTGTTCCATCTTCTTATTGCCAAACTGCCTTTTAACATCATCCTGTGACTGTACTATTATCGCGAGGTTGATGTAACATCGGTCCATATCTAGTAATTCCCCAGAGAGCCGTTTGATCTCGAGTCGCCCTCCCTGAGTGTAATATTTGCATAGCCCAGCATCAGCATAGAATCTCTGGGCTTCGTCACACTTCAACCATGCTCTCTCTAACAAGTGCGTAGAGAGATTGTCAGTCTTCCCTGTTTCTCTAAGAAACGCCTTCAGTTTGGGTTCGTAATCTTTGTTCTTCCGAAACCTGAGCCTGTGTTGGTTGCTTGGGAGAGTGTCTTTCCAACCTGGCTGACCAACCGTGTCAGCAACCAGCCTGACCCATTCCTGCGCAGATTGGTGTTTTCGTCCTACTAGAGGAATGGTACTTTGAATTGAGTCAACGACTCGGTCTCTGACTGATGAATCTCCAGTCACCCAGGCCTGCTCGAGCTGAGCATACAAGCCACACAAGAATGCCTCTTCCCGACGACATGGTACTCCCCGGGTAAACTCCTCAAGCTTTTGCCATGCCGCAGACCGGATCAGCATATCTGTATACCGAAGAGCCACGTACCAGTTCTTCGGCTTAGGTACACGTTTCATGCCCATTGCCATGCTTCCTACCCCATCGTATATGCTGTACAGATCGGACGCGATATCGCCCACGGATTTGATGAGATCTGGCACTTTCATCAGGTCCGGAACCGCATCCATCAGTCTTGCCGGATCCATGGTTGGAACTACGCTCGCCACCCCCAGCACACCTTGCGCAACTTTATGAGCATGACGTAGGAATGCATGATAGGAACTCTCGTTGTTCGGCAGACCTAGCAGGGCTTCGCGAGCATAAGTGGCAGCTTGGGCGAGGCGAAGCTCTTGATGATCCGTCAACGTCTTGAGCTGTGCTTGTAACGGTTCGTGCAAGTCTACCCGGTCAAGACCATAGATCTTGAGGTCTACCATAGCATCAAGGATAACGGACAGTGTACACACCAGCTGCAGCTGATATTGCGTTCCACTCCCAGCTTGTTTTATGACCTCATTCAGTCGTTTTTGTAGGCTCACTAAGACTGATCCGAGTCCGGCGGTTGCTGGCGGCAGAGAGCCGTTAGCCCGCCGGAGGACGTAAGCGTAATTTGTAAGGAGCTTCTCGTCGAGTATATTGCCGTCGGACGTGCCATCGATAATAGCATTGGAGAATGCCACCACCACGTCGAGATATTCTCTCCTTGTAACTGCGGATGATAGCTCCACAACTTCTGGCACATACAGCAATTTACGATCATCCTTAAATATTTCGATCATCGTTGTGGCCAGCGCCTCTAACGCTTTCCTTTCCTTTGAGTCACAGTCGGAGCTGGTCAAGCGGCTGATGAGATCGTTGGTATGGATGGGCCTCGACGGGTACAGTGGAGACTCGGCCATTGTGAAAGGTTGACATTTCAGTTAGGAGATAAACATCTTAGCAACATAATCCACTGCGAATAGAGAATATGAGGATAACGAGCTCCGTGGTGGGGTTGGTGAGGGGCTAACCTCGCTGGTCGCAACCTCATGCAAAGTCATGCGTCTGTTTTTAAGTCATCTGTCCTCTTTGGGTTTAGTGCCCATACTCAGTCAGCTACTCGCTGGCAATCTCCCAACAGTTGCACGTGTAATCACGTGATGCAGCATATGGAGTGAGCGTGATCGATCCTTATGGGTGTGCTACGCGTTGGGATTAGA